CACTTCAAAGAAAAACTCATGGCTTGAGTCTTTTTACATATTAATACTATATAATATTCATAAATTATTAAAACACAAAACTTAATTTCCCCCGGGATTAATAAAGTATTTTTTGATTGATTCACTTTTGGTTAGATCTCAAAAAATCCTGTTCCGTATTTTTCAAAATACTCACACAGTGTTTATTTCCCAAAAGAATATATTAATGTTTTACAGTATAACTCGAGTATATGATGTGTTTTTGTGTAGGTTTTACACAAATCATAACAAAAGCAAAGAAGGAAGTAAAAAAAGCAACAACTTTAACCTTTATTAAAACAAGGAAGTACAGATGTATTTTTGTATCACAAAGTAAAAATAGAAATGTGTGAGTAACTATTCAATAGAACATAACGCAACTGATGCCAGAGGGTTACCTGTGATTTAGTGTCATTTCAACAGGACATGCAATGAGCCTCTCATGATTACAACATTATTTTTGCAGGATTTGATTCCAACAGGAGACACTTAGGTTATTTTAGTACACTCACTTGTTTTGGAGCAGTGGCATATATTGAAATGTACGGCAGAGGATTCGGCCACATTTTAATTTAGATTTTTAGATGTGACAATAATCTTGACTTTATTCTGATAATTCTGAGAGAAAGTCAGGATTCTGAGAAAAATCTGATTAATTTTCTTGCACAATTCAATGTAATAAGAACTTTGACTTTTTCTTGACATTTTTTCTCATAATTATAACTTAAATCTTACAATTCTGACTTTAGTCTCAGAACTAAAAATGAAATCACTTGTGGTCCTAAGCCTCATCTGTAACTCATTTCAATTCAAACTTTTTCAGAACACACAACCCACACATTAAAAAACTGTTCTATAGTGCTGCTAGGGGTAAAATAAAAAGATTTAAATCACTCTGCTTCAAATGTGACCCTTATTTCACACGTATGTCTTTTCTTCGCCTTGTCATTTCCTTAATAGCTCCAGTATATAATAGTTAGGTGGTAAAGAGATTATACGCATTACAAACCTGTCAGGTAAAGTGCTTTGGCTTCCCTTGCCTCAGGCCTTTGGAAAGCTTGTAAAAGTTCCTCAGGGAGGAAAGCAGCAGGGACACATGTCACCCTTCAGCTGTGTGGTTAAAGTCACTCAACACACCCAGGTTCAACCTCTCTTCCAATCAAGTGACTCACACACTTTTTGGATTAGACTCAGCCCCGCCGCCTTTCTCTTGAATTTCCTTTCGTCTGTTTACCAGCTCTTTCTCCCTTTCACTGGATCTTTTCTCTCAGGGACGTGTTGCCGTTCACTCTCCAGCTCCCAGAAGTCATCGCTTCAGCCAAAACATCTGCTGACCTCGAGGAGGTTGCTAAACTTGGAGCAGGTTTGTTCTCTTATTTAAATGTATTAGTGCGTTAGGGATGTGCTCCTGTTGCTGCAGCTTGGGTTATGAATGTTGTGCACGTTTTCACGCTAGCAATACTACAGTCTATGCATCAAGAGTGCAAAAGATCCCAGCTTTGATGAATTCTGGACTCGGAACCAGTCTCTGAGAGCCCTGAGAACTTGGGTGATTTGTTCTGCTCTTTAAGTTTTAGTCAGGACTCAGGCGGCAGCGTTATGAATGAGTTGTCACATGTTTTAATTATGCTGTTGCAGTTATCATGAATATGTAAGACATATGCATGAACGAGTTTCTCTAGCTCTTCTTGAGACATGAGTCTTTTCAGTCCGGCTATGTTTTAGTGGTTGTAGTATGCTGACTTTGTAATAATATGGGTTTTGAAATGTAGGTCATAGTCCAGAACTACACCAAGATTCTGATTGGCTGATGCCTTAAACATAATTGGTGCAATTATTTATGATTTTGCAACAGTTGATTTGTATAGTTCCCTCAGCCTCTTTTCAGAAAAGCCTCTATTCAGCAAAAGAGTCTTTAACTCCACCCAACATCTGTTGTGTGTAAACATTGTTGAGTTTTTTCTTTTTTTCCCCCCGAGGTATGGTAAATCCATTTCAACCCGCCCCCCTTCCATCGGTCTTCTCACAGTCTTAGCCAAATATCATTGGACCTTTTAATTAATAACATCCAACACTCTAAAATAAAACATGTCTGTTTTGAAGAGTATCTCAAATCTAACAGGAGCAGACATTATTGTCTACCTGTTTAATGTTTTAGGGCAAGAATCAGTTTAAATGCACTTCAGTGGAATTATCTTTCAGCCCACTTCCCTTTTCACAGCCCACCCATTGACCTTTTTGCCCCTTTAGCCTCGCGTGCTGTGACTCAGCTCTGAGCTTGCATGTATAGGTCTACATCTCTATTCTCTTCCTGTATTGTGTTGTTCAGTCTCTCTTTCATTCATAAAAGGCTTCTTGTTTAGTGAGTCGGCACAATGGTGCTTTTTGTGTCTATGAAGGTGCTTCAGCAGCAGTGAATAGTGGCAGTTGTGACGTACATACGGACATCATCAATGGCTGGGAAAGATCAGAAAAGAGTGCTGTTGACTCATGTGGCTCTCCACCTGTAAGGGGAGTTTGGATTAGGACGCAGTTTATTATTTTTTGTGAGGCATTTTAAAGGCGTGTCTTTTGTTGATAAAGTTACAAGATTATTATTTTAAAGTATGAGAAGTTTGGCAGTGCCTTTTTAACCCACCATGGTGAAAAAGTAGCTCCTTCCCCGAAACTAAACTTCATTCAGTGGTGGAATGTAAAGTACATAAGGAAATTGCTTTTATTTTATTTCGTATATCATTTGAGGTAATTGTACCTTACCTGATTATTTGCACGTATTGATACCCGGCTACATTTTAAAGGCCAGTATTGTACTTTTTACTCTACTACATTTATTTGAAAGCATCAGTTACGTATAACATTATATATTCAGATTAATAGAGAATAAAAAAATGTTTTGATAAATACATAACATTTGTATACATATAGGTTAAACTATGCAGCAGCAGTATACAAAGTAATACAATTAGCTCCCCTTTTAAGAAGCTGTGATACACAGTATATTATTATGTTATGGGCCATTACGCATTATGAGTACTTTGAGTTTAAACATTCGCTGTCATTTGACCTGTATTCACATAAATAAATAAAGAATACTGTGCATTGTTTTAACTACAAGGAGCACAATAACAAAGGTCAGTCTGGCAAAAATCATTAGCTTCATCATTTAGCTGTGATAAGTGTTTCCCACAGACATACATGTATTGACTGACAGTGTCTGATTTTCCTTCTCTCTGTGGAGGCATGACGTGCAATACACAGCAGCTTTTAGGCATGATACAACTACTTTTTCCACTTGTTGCCAATTCTTAGTTTTCACTGGAAACGGGGCAGGCCCGTCATTGCTCCAGGCAGTGACGTAGCCCTGCTCTCTTCAATAGATGACAGGCACTGTCTATAATTGCTGCAAAATGAACAAAATAATAATGATTTAAATGCTGGTAAGTGGACCTTGATATGAGAAAATAAATGATGTTGACTATGTGACTTGTTGATGAGGATGTCTGCAGAATGAATGCACACCACTGTATTCATGGCTTTGTTTCTGCTGTTGCTCATCACTAAACTTCATGAAAGCAATACTATATTTAGCAACTTGTCAGTGCCACATTTTCAAAGACAATCTACTATTTTAATCACATACAGTATAATCATTGGTGGAAGAAGTATTCAGATACTGTTGAAAAAAAAATAAAAAATAAATGTCCTGCATTCAAAAATCCTAAGTATTATTATCAAAATAAAGTTTAAGTATAAAAAGTAAGAGAAGTAATTATGCAGAGAAAATCGCCTCCATATGTGAGATATTATTATATACGTATAACATGTTTAGATAATGTGGTTGCATCAGGTAGAATTTGACTCTTCTACACAAAGTTCTGTAACGAAAAATGATTTATTTGATAATTATTTTTTGTAGCTTGCACAGTTAGTCCACTGGTTTAAAGCTCTGAAAAGTAGCTAAAGAACTTTAATAAATGTAGTGGCGTAAAATACATTATTTCCCTATAATTGTAGTAGAGTAAAAGTGTAAAGTAGCATTCAATTGAAATACTTAAAAGTGAAGTACTTAGTCATTTACCACCACTGCATATTGGAATATCCAGTATTTTCATAATGCCTTTACATATCCTTACATAACAAGATATTAAACTTGACAGCTGTCAATAGGGAATAATCTGCAATGTTAAACTGACATGCCAAGCTACATTTGTGTTGATATGATTTACCTCTCAGCTATCGTTTCCAACCTTTGAGATGAGACTTTTATCATATCAAATGTAATGGTGTGGTAAAGGGCATGCAGTGTGGTAATCAAGATAAAGCTACTTTCAACATTAGCATGCAGCAAGTATATGTTGGTTTGATGATTTCCCTTTTTTAATGTAATTTTTCCATAAGCCTGGTCAGTAATATTAATGCCAACTGCGCATGAAGCAAAGTGAATGACTTCGTCTTGTCTTGTATAAGCTCTGTCTATTATTGGCTGCAGTTCAGCTGTCATGCTAATGTGTTTGAGTTTCCGTAACTTAACCTTGACTTTCCCGGATCTCGATCAACCCAACCAAACCACATTCATTCAAGTGTATGAGTGTGTGTTTGAACAGCAGCTCATTACATAACTTGTGTATGCTAAACAGATGAATCAAAGTAATTACACAAAACTAGGTGTGTAAAGAAAACATTATGATATATATGTATTCAAAAGGATGACCTAGTATCCAGATGTATTCATTGTCCAGACAATTAGATTATACATGGACTAAATGCATGTGCTGTGTGTCTGACAGAGGGGATGACAGGCAGTAGAATCTCCCTAGCTGGATTCGAACCCGGCTCCTCCGCACAGTGACCTCATCCCTCAACCTCATGGCCGGCCCTGTTGTGATTGGTCAACTGCTTAGAGATGTCCCGCCCCTTAGCAAATCAACACAATGTGTTGGATAGTAGAAATGCGAGTGTTGTCACTATGTCATGGAAGTAAACAAAGGAGTTCAAAGGAGGGGGGTTCAGGCAGAGTGTGTGGGGGAGAAACTCAGGGATTTTAGCCTTTGCAGATCTACATGCACAAAACATATAATACACACTTCAGAAAAGGGAAAACCCAAAACACATTACTGTATAGGGCCTTTTTTGAATCCTTCAACATAATGTTAAAAAAACACTATCATAATCAGATCATGTAATCCTGTGAAAGGGAGACGATAGTAAGAGTAAACAAAAGTAGTTTATAAGGACAGTAAACATGTTTTGGTTTGTCAGACAAGAGTGCAAGTGAGAGAACGAGAGACATCAACATGACACCAACTGAAAGGGAGGGAGGGAGGGAGGCGTGATCACTGAGCTAACAGCCTGCCCACACACACATTAACAGGAGTGAGTCATAATACAGATTGAACGTGAGTGAGCCAGAGAAGCCAGTCGAGTTTCAGCTTGTGTACACACTCTCACTTCAAAAGGATCAGAACTGTACAGAGAAGTTTTCCTGAGGTGAAATCAACAGCTCCTCTGTGTGCGGTCACAGTGAGTATTGTTGCTCTGCTCTCTGCTGTCACTGTGTGAAGGAGCTGCTCTGAGTCTGGTACTAGTTTTCCTCAAGCGCTATTGTTCCCCTCTGGTTGTGTCTGTCTTGTTTTGCTCTGTCTGGTACGGCTTGGACTCTAAAGGTTTCAAATATTCTTGTGTTGTAGTAGTTCAGTGCTATTTGACTCTTTATCCCAGACAGGCTGAGCCTCGTTCTGCAAAAGTAAACAGCAGTGATTTTGCACAGAGCAGCATTTAGAGGTTTTTTGTGGTTTTAAATTGCAGGGCTTTTATTGAGTCATTGGGAGTGGATGAGTGGGCAAATTATAGCTGGCAAGTTAAGTTTATTTTGCTGCCGCTCACTGTAGTATAATGTCACATGTATGAGAATGTTAATATTTATATCTGCCAATATGATTGGGAATTGTGTTTTAAATGTTTTTAATTAGCCTTGTCTAGAAACCTAGAAACACTATTCTACACATTTGTATCATGATTTGTAACCTATTCCAATGTTTTATGCACTTTTCCTGACAAACAAATACATACATACATTTAGTATGAAAAACTTGATTTGCGTCTATGCGATTATCAGGTTACACATAAAATCAGGGGACAAAAGGGACCGTTTCCTTGTTGATATGGGTATTATGGCTAATACTCTACATACTCTAATACTACAATCATTTTGTTTCTTAAGGCTAAGCAAACCAAAAAAAGATGCCTAATCAGCAGAATGTACTTTACAGTCCAGATAATGGTTAGTTACCGATAAATGTGCTTTTACATCTCCAATTTGTTTGCCTTCAATAGTGAGGGCAATTCATGCTTTTAAAAATGATCCTTGTTCTACTAAAAATAACCGGAATAGCTGTCTACAGAAAAGGAGGTCAGATAATGTTTTCAGTTGTAAGTCAGCATCGTTGGGTCTGAAGAGTTTTAGCATGTTTACATTCTAGAGATGCAGAGTTAAAAAAAAAGTGATGTTAACAAAACTTTTCAGTAAATGTAGCGCTTAAGCTGCGTTCACAAGACAGGTGGTAACAGGTCTGTGCCGGCCCACTAGGATATTTTATTGTCGCCGTGCGCCACAATCAAAGTTCAAATTACTTAATCTTTGACCTCGTTTAACGCCGACTATCAAAGCCCAACCATTCAGATGTCAGAATGCATGTAGCGTCACAAGCTAGCAGGGGAGGTAACCATATAAGCAAAACTTCACTAGCTGTTTTCAAGGCGAGGCCCAATCTTGAGGTGATCAAAGAGCAAATTGTGCATCTTGTGAATGCATCTTTTCAGGTTGTACCCTAACCTGTCCAAACAATTTACACAGCGTGTTTTTCTCACTCTTTCACATAGGCTTCTGGGATTCTCAGTTGTGCCACAGGAGTAAGGACTCAGTCTTTTTGTCAGGAATAGCTGCTCCCTCTTCCCAGACACCAGTCTCCTTGGTGACCATCCCAGGGCGCCCTCGACTTCGAACTCGCACCCCTTCAGAGCTTGATTGTTGCCAGTCCAACGGAGCACTTTGCTTTATCAACCCCCTCTTCATCAAAGTTCACCAACCAGATGGTGACGACAGCACCACTTCACGTCCCTCTGGTACAGCAAAGGAAAACCAGAGGGAGGAACCCGTGAGCGACAGCCTAGAAACCAACAACAAGGACCCTCAACATCATCCTCAGGTCTCAGATCAGGCAGGTCAAAGCAACCCTCAGAGTCTTGATAGGAACCCAAAGCTAAAGGACCATAACAGCCCAACCAGCAGCAGCATTCAGAAACTAAGTAAGCCACGGTCCCCACCTCCACGTCCACCCCCACCTCAAATTGTGTCGCAAATATCAGCCCCTCCAATCCGACAACGCAGTATGCCAGAAAAGATCGCCTGGATCAACTTCCCGAAGGGGAAGGGGGAAGAGAGGGGCAGCAGCCTCCTTTCCCGTCTGGGCTCTTCCCTCAGCATCAGCCCCTCGTCCTCCCCTCCCAAGAGACTCAGCATCAGCTCCCCCATTTCCATCCCCCGGCCCTCCCTGCCCATGACTCTGCAGTCTCTTTCCTGCTCACCACGTCAGGCTAAGGCCTCACCGTCGTCTAGCCATGAGGAGGCCCAATGCCACTTGGCACTGGAGGACCAGACCATTGAGAAGGCCGTCATCAGGGCCAGACTCTCTCAGCGTAATGCTAACAGAAACCCCCCCCTGGACTCCAGCAGTCCTCCAGACCCTTCAACAACAAGCAAACAGGAAGATGTGCCAGGAGCAGAAGAAGAAGCAGGCGAGGAATGCAGTGGGAGCGGCCAACGTCTGAGCGACATGAGCCTTTCCACCGATTCCTCAGACTCTCTGGACTTCTCTCAGTCTTCAGTCTTTTTCCTTCCTCCTCTGCATGATCCCAGTCCCCCCACCATGGCTGACTTTGACACCCACCTCCCCCTCTCCCTCCCACCATCTCACCTGCCTTACTCCAGCATGGAGGAGGATGACGATGATGACGAAGACGAGGATGAAGAGGAGCATGACTATGGTGTCAGTCTTGAGAGCGACCAGGACCAAGACCAGGACTTGACCATGGTGCCACCAGGCCACCGCACGAGGCGCCGCCCCAGTGCCAGCGCTTTGGTCCTGCAGAGGGCCCTTCGAGGGCATCTTCGCAAGATGAGTGGAGTGTTCAACTCTCTGCTGACGCCCGAGAAGAGGGCCATCCGCAGGGTGGTGGAACTATCAAGGGATAAGAGCTCGTACTTCGGCTGCCTGGTGCAGGACTACCTCAGCTACATGAGCGAGGGTGCAGGCACCCAGGCTTGGCAGGGCTACGCCTCCGGACTGGAGCTGCTGCAGACTCTTCGTCAGTTCATCACTCAGATGAAGAGCTACCTGAGACAGAGCTCCGAGTTGGACCCACCAATCGAGAGCCTCATTCCCGAAGACCAGATTGGTGAGTCCCAAATAATTAATCTTTTCATGATCTTTTTTTGTTGTCTGTTTTATATTCATAGGAAGTGTGAATGATTGATGTTCTTATGGAAAATATTAACACAATGACAATGTCAGAGAAAGCTTGCTGATATAGCAATTTCACTTCACTATTTTAGCAGTGACTTCATCGGAAAACTTGTCCTCGTGTGTTTGCGCCTGGATGTGTTCCAGTGTTTTTATGCATGCAATAGCTTTTTCTTTTTAAATATCCATCCTTTATTGCATCTAACAATACCATGACAACAACATGAAAGGGGGACCAGACACAACCGCATAGAAACATACCAGCACACACACACACCTGCCGGAAGAGCGGTCTGAATCATTGAGGCCAAGACTCAGAGGCTGGCCGGAGCAGCATGTAAACAGAGAGCACAAAGAGGGTTTTATCTCAGGACCACTGGGGGTGTTCAACAACCCGTTTCTGCTGGCCCTGCTCACATAGTTTAGCACAAGGCTATAATTATGTTATTGTTAAACATTAACTGGGCGTTTTTGTTGCTTTGGGAGATGATTCTGTAATTTGCAATGCATTTATAAACAGTTAACTATGAACATATTTCCAGTATACTGTAGTATGCAACAGTATAGCGATGTCTGTTTTGCAAGGCAAGAACATTGCCTTACGGTCTATAAATACTTTATTCTGCACCACCATTTCTGGCTGCTAACAGCTCATGTTAACACTGTAGACTTCAGTCACGTTTAGAGAATTGTGGTCTTCAATTGGATTGACACTTACAAATAATAACACACAACTTGAAAATGATAAAGAGAGATTTCAACTTTTATTTTTGAATTACCAATATTAATATAAAGGTTCTAAAGGAAAAGGGGAAATATATTCATGTTTGTATGTCGCGTGCCGTGGGTTGCCTGTTTTCCAAAAGGCCTCTCAGGAATGACTCAATTAGAACTGCTGCGGTTTCAGTTCTTGGAATAATTGCGCAACATTTTGTTGTGGCAGCTTCAGGGAGTGTTTTCTAATGAACTCAAAGACTAGCCGATCCAGATGTGTTTGGGTGACGTTTTGCAAATCTTTACAACCTCTGTCTTACCTCAACTAAACATCCTTTAAATGTACTCTCCAATTAAAGTGATATCATTTGAGGCAAGACCTCTTTACTTTGTAGTCCTTGGACACTCTTTCTGTGTTTATTTTCCCCTTTCCCTCTTTCTCCTCATCCATTCTCCCTCTCGCTATAACAGTTAATGCTTTCATTGATATGGGTATTTTCACACTCACTATCATCTCTTATAATACTTCCTTGTATACCAGTAAAAGCATCCATCATTAGCACATTTATCCGTAGGATACACACAAAGAGAAAAACAAATATGCAGAATGTAATAGAGTAATTCACAGTTTATTCATGATGTTGTTTTCCATGTTTAGTGCTCACTCAGCAGCCCAACCATGTATGTGCTTAGGTTCAGGATGTTTAGGGGGGGGGGGCAAGAATAGAGTACCTTGTTTTCCATTCATCCAGCACTGCTAGACTCTCCACGGCTAGATAGCCCGAGACGGCTCCATGTCAGGAAGCTCTGTTTGTGGTGCTTCACAGTGTCCTTGAAAGCATCAACAGCTGGATAGCTCCTAAGGAAGGATCTGTCAAGGAACTTTGAACCCTAATCAAAATAACTTTGATGGTTATTGGACTCAGGATTAATGAATTTGGATTCCCGCTGTATCAAGAAATTAAAGGACGGCGCAAGTGGAAACAATTCACAAAGGGATTCAACTGTTTAAAACACATGCTCAAAGTAAGCCGGATTTTGGCGATGTGTTTATGTGGATTAAAAAATCGTAAATAATCTACAAAATGGAGGAGACCGATCTGATCAGAGCAACTGTGACAAATAATCCAACTGAAACCGACGCTTTACCCGCAGAAGAAACATTTATATTAAAGAAAAAATGATACATTTCTGTCTTTGTATGCTTTTATTAGCTACTAACTTGCAAATGTATGCATCATATTTATTTCAAATGTCGAAGAACAGGACACTTCAAAAGAATATACTATGTCTAATAAATAAATGGTAATATGGTTGCATAGGCCTGTATAAAACAAAAATGAAAAACTGGCATATTAAGCAGGTAAATCAAATGCTTGTCTGCCATGGAACAGGTAGCAGAGAGAAGACGAGGTTCAAGTAGGTTCATTAATGTGAACCTTGGGCTTGCACGCCCACAGCCAGGGATGGAATGTCCAGTGTAATGTGAGTGACAGCCAGTCTAAAGTCGTTGTGAACGTCCAGTGTGTTGCGTGCTTTTGTTTTGATGGCAACAAGTGCGCTGAAGGCTGTTTCTGATAGATATGTCATACTGAATGGGAGTATAATCCTGGTCGTGGCATGCAGTGTGATCTTTGGAGCGAGGCTTGGTCCTTTGAGAATCCAAAACTTTTAAAATCCTTTTTCCTGGAAGTATTTCTTTGACAGCGAGTCAGCTTGGATGTCGGTGAGCTCATCTTCGCAATCCAGGTATTCCACATCCTCAACTTTGGCAATAAAGGGATCTAAAACCCACAATTCCTTGGAGACATACTCGTCTTTGTCAGCGAACCGTGATTGCATTTCCGTTTGCAGTGCGTTCATATGGCGGATGAACTCGCGACGTACAGACACAGGCACCGTTTCAGGATTGTTTTGGGATTGTTTCTGCAGTAGTGGAAACTGTTGCAGTTCCCCCCCTCTCCATTTTCCCGACCCTGTACTCCAGTTTGCGCACAAATGCATCAAGCGCCTCTTCACATTGGAGAATGTTGGACTCCACGCCTTGCAGACGCTTGTTTGTTTCATTGTAGAGACTGAAGATGTTGGCCAGGTATGCTGTTTTAATCCAGAATGACTCGGTCACTTGCTCTGACAGTGCGCGGTTACGAGTTTGTAGAAACTCTTCAATTTTTCCTTCAGCTTCAGTTCTACAAAGCGTGCAGCAACTCGGCGCCGCATGAGAGCCAGCGCACCTCGGTGTGCAGGGAGGAGGGTTTGGTGCGCTTCATCTCGCACCAAGTGCTGCGGAATAGACGCTTTTCGTGGGGCGACCTTGATGCATGAATTGCTATTTTAATAACAGTTGAGAGTGTTTTCGCTGAGGTCTTCTGACAGTCTTCTGTGCCAGGGTCTTGCTGGCGATGTTTCACACGCGTGATATTAGTGATGCAGTGTGGGGCCTTTTCTTTCAAGCGACTGTTAAATCCCTTGTTTTCCGCCATCACTTGAGGCGCTCCGTCTGTGCAACATTGCACTAAATTTCTCATAGGAGAAGCTTGTGGGATGAGAGGTAGAATCACTGCAGTAAAAATGTCCTCACCCCGGGTGGTTAGTGGTTAGGTGACTGACATAAGAATGGTCCTGCTTCAAATCTCTCCCATCGATATTTTGCACATAACGATCAGCACAGCTTGTCTGCTACAGTTGTGGTTTCATCAAGTTATATGGCAATGGCCCCCTTTCCAGCTTTTCGAGCAGCTGCAGCTCGCATGTACGTTGCATCTTTCGCAATTCTTGTCTTCACCGTATTGTTGACAGTAGTACAGTTTTTTCGCTCTCCGCACCTGCGGGCGTGCCCGCACGTTTCTCCAGCCATCTTATGCAGCTGGCTTCAGCTTTAATTGGAGCTGCTCGCCAATGTTGTGCGGTTTGCTTTGCCTTTGCTATTAATGTGCACATTCAAAAAGAGGCCTCGGTGCGCTTCTGTGTGCATCGCTGCCTAGCGCTAACAAACGGCTGTTCTAATTCCATTGGCTGTTGCCTTTGCAAGGTGTTCGTTTCTTTATGAAAAAGTTCCCGATCACGCGCGACTGGTTTCTGTGGGTGCATGTGTATCTGTTTGGGTCTCTTCATTTTGCTGGGTTTCATGCTTTCGTTGGCTAGCTTCTCTCTGCATATCACACACTCTGGGCGGGTTTTGTCCGTTCCCTCCATGAAACCGAAGTTAAGATAGCTCTCTAGGTAGGTCCTCATTTTCTTTTTGATTGCAGATGAGCTGTCATCTCCTTTACGTTTTTCAGACATTTTTAGACAAAAATATTCACCTTATGAAGTCGGTCGCTAGCTAGCAACCGCAGCAAACTGTTATTATTATGAAAGCTGACACAGTAACGTCAATGTTGGCGCCAATCGGAGGAGTATCAGATGAATTTTTTTAATTTTAATTTTAGTTAATCAATTAATTTCTATATTTTATTGTAATGTAGACAAGGCTTTTAGCGCCAATCATGTATTGCGTTACAATATGTAAAAAAAATGATATGTAAAAAAAAAAATGATATGTACATTTTTTTTATTCTAAATATGATATTAGGCCTCAAATCATCTGAGGTCTGGCGGCCCCCCTGCGATCTTTGGCGACCCCCAAAGGGGGTCGCGACCCCCAGGTTGGGAACCACTGTTCTAGGAGGTAGTAAGGCCTTCAACGTAGAGCCTAACCCTAACCCTAGAGCTGAAGTAACAGTAGGCCTTGGCATTTAGCAGCATCCCTCCAGAAGATGTTGAAAGACTCAAGCAGCCTTTGCTACTTTTCCTTAGCAATGCTAGGACCTAAATGGGTGCAAAGGCTATTTTGGGATGTACCTTCTCGAAGCAGGAAGTGAGCAAAGTGTGTATCAGGAGAGGCCCTTGGTTCAATGACAGCTCAGACCGAGACTCCTCTCTTTCTGATTACTACAGGCTATGTTCACTCCTAAAGACAGTTGGGCTGCTCAATTATGGCAAAAATCATAATCTCGATTATTTGGGTCAATAATTGATATCAGGATTATTAAAAACGATTTTCCATTTACTTAGAAAACATCAATTTATTGAAAAAAATTGAACAGTATGTTTCCAACAGTTGATTACCCTGAACTTTAAGTATAATTGAACTGGAAAAAAAATGAAAAAAATAAAAAGTTTGATTTCGGTTACGTTGTTTTCATAATCGTTGCAAGCCAAAATCTTAATTGCGATTAAAATACGATAAATAGAGCAACCCTAAAAGACAGTCATATAGTCTACATGCCTTTGCCATTCCATGTGGTATAGCATTTATTTAGTTATTTCGTTTTGTGTTTTTTTTATTTAATGAAAAGGGTCACTTCATTTGTTTTACATTTATTTGATTATTTTTTGTTTATTGACTGAGTTCATTAACAGCTGCACTTCACTCATAATACAAACTCAGGTTTTTGCATAAGATACGATAGAGAAACAAAAGACAAAACCAAAATAAAGTATAAATAAAGAATAAAATCAAAGTAATAGAAAAAAAAAACACAAATATATTGAAAGATACATTAAAGCTAATTACATGGGAATTATATTCAGAGGACTATACATGTGTAGGTATGTGATGTTTCTTTACTCTCCAGCACACAGGAAATCAAAATAGATTTTAAATTTCAGTTTCAATAATTGGGAAAACTCCTCGGCCATAACGGCACCAAGAGCGACAAACAGAAACACTAGGCCTTTTGAGGATAACTACTGTTAGTTTTTACATTTGCCTGTACAAATGTCTAGGACAGTATGTTTATTTCAAGCTAGAATTACCATTGCCAAAAAGACGAGAGGATGTTTGTATCAAGCGGGAAGAGGCTGTGTTGTTGCCAGCAGTGTGTGTTTGTGTCAGATTGCCTGCTTGAGCTGACCTTGACTGATAAGACGCCTGACTTATCTGTGTTTCCTACCGTCTGTCTGTTGATGCAACACACGAGAGACTGTGACGTAGACTGGGGAGCTCGCAGTCCAATGCACACGGATCAGAATTCACTTTGAAGCCAGAGCAGGACACAGGGGTCAACATTCCCTCCTGCAGAACAAGTATGTCCACAGTAAGCCTTCACATACACGCTCGAAAGATACACAACTTTACTTTGAGCAATCTAAAGTGTATGTACGTAAAAATTTGAATTTTCCACCGTTAGAATCACTTAAACAGTCCAACCTTTATGCCCAGAGTGAAGAATATTGGCCCTGTTTATAATGACTGTAACAGACTATCGAGTAAATGTTGAGCTCGAGGACAGTATTAGGGAATAAATAAACAGTTCATAGAGTATAAGGTGCATACTGAGCATTTAAGACCTCAGATTAGTCGTTTCTAACATGGTTCAGGCCCTGTACTGTTTACCACGGCAACAACTTGTTCTTTTAATTGTTTTAGAAAATAGTCTGCTCCATCTTTAAAGTAACCTTGCAAGCTTTTTTTTCCCAACAGCAACAAGCTCTAAGTTGTCAAATGTGAATACTTGCAATGTTTCTCAATTTTTTATTATCGTACATTTTTTATAATTTCAAATCATGGCGGAGAAAAACAACACATTTAAACTTTAAGTGGCTCCTATTGTAGACATTGTCTTACCATAGTTTTCTTACTTTCAAAATAATTTGCAGATGAGAGAACAATTGTTAGTGGCAGCTGAGTAGTATTGAGATTTGAAAGAAAAAGCTTTTTGTCTTACCTTTGTATCTTTCTATCTCTCTTTTTATTCTTATCCCTCACAAAGAACTTTGAGAGTTAACATATGTTTTCTTCCTTGTAACAGAATACATGTTTTGTATTTAAAA